AGCTCTGCAAATCCTGTGCTCAGGGGAAGTCTGCTTAAAAACCGGCTACCCACAGTACAGGCTCTCACTCTCCCCCATTTTTGCTGCCTCTGATATGGAGGCAGCAAGGAATTGAGTACATGTAGTCAATAAGATTAACCAATAACCTACTGGCAAAACACCTATGACACTGCTTGGGAAAACAGATTATTAGCCAGATTTGTCCCCTACTGGGGGGGAGGGGGAGGAGACTACCAAAAAAGCCACCACACACCCAGCTAAAAGTGAATTTTAATTTTTTAATGGATCAGCATTCAATCATAAGAGCACCCTTCATCTGAAAACTGCAAATATATCAATCCACCCACCACTGAAATACGCATATTTGGGATGGAAAACAGAAGCTATTTAAGGAGGTATAGTAATACTATGGTCAAAATATCACCCCTAAAAATATGGTTGAAGATGCCAATGGGAAGAACATTTCTATTACATTTTTAACTGCCCCAACTTCAGAAGCCCCATACCTACTACAAAATATAATTTCTCTCCCCCTTCTACTTGCTTTGAACACCACAATTGATAAAGTTCATGTTATTTTAAAATTAAGTCATCTGAAGAATTTTAACAAAGGTGCTTTGGTATATTTTATTTGGGATGTATTTAAACAAGAGAAAAATATGTTTTCTACAAAATTAAGAATATCTTACTTCAATCAGTTACAAGCGAATTCTACCTTTGAAAAGTTTAGTTTGTTGGTAAAGCAGATCCAAGTTACTATCCTCCAATACAACTAAATTGTAAATTTTTACAAAGTCACCTGAACAAGCCTGCCTGATGTTTTTAACAGTCTAACTTCTGAGACATGTACACTCCCAAAATTAGGTATTGAGAAATCCTCAAACAATTTGATTCAAACAATTTTTTTAAACATTTGAAACAGATGTAAAGCTTTAACACAAATGAAATTCTGAAAAACAGAAATTTAAAATATTTTACTTGGAATGGCTGGCATCACTTGGCCTTCAGATTTGTGGCACTCAGAATGGTAGAATGCAAACACCAAAGAAATACACAAATTATATTTGTCTATGGAGCACCTTCTCTATCTGAATAGATTATGAGTTCACCAAGCAAGAGACAGTAATGAAAAAGTGTTAACAGCAAACTGCTGAACATCCAAAGAAGCAGAATAAAAGCAAGTTTTGTTGAAGATTAACTGACTTAGGGGTAGTGATGGTAAAATGTGGGTAATTGGGTAACCGTGTAACCACTGGAAATCTCAGTGGTTACAATCACCAGCAGTGCAGGGTGGCAGCTGGCTCCCAGTGTGCACCAGCTCTTGCCTGCCACTCCACTCTTAGGGAGCCAACTGTCATCCCATGCTGCTGCCTGATATACAGCCAGCTCTCCAGGAGCAGGGCGGGAGCCTGCATGTTAACTGTGAACAGTAACTGATAAGCCCAGGTTATACTTTTACATCCATACTCAGGGATGGAAGAGTTGGAAAAATGCAATGGTGATATTGTTTGACATGTGAATTTATAATATACCAATTAGAACCTTGTTCAGTTGTAAAGACAAAAAACCCTCAAATAAGTATCAAACTCCTAAATCCAATTTTTATTCAGGAGAGTAGACTAAACCTTTGGTCATGTAGATAAAGTCCAGGTAGCTATCAAAAAAGGATAATCCTCTGTAAATTTAGAGCAATTCTGTTCCAAGCACACAATCCTATCTCCAAATAAGCATCCCAACAAGCTTAGTAATAAAATGCAATCACGTTTAGCTCAAGAAATTTTAACAACTGATTTGTCTGTCCGCCAGGTAGTGCCAGGCTTTCTTCCATAGGATTGCAAAGCCAGCAGTATGCATATTCAATATCATGGAACCTAAGTAAAAAAGTTTCCCTCTGCCTGCTGAAACCAGCGTATTTGTATAAATAAGTTTGATACAGATATGAAGATACAACCTAGCAAAACAAGTATAAGGACTTTGTAAAAAGTGAGATTTTTATTTACTGAACTGAAATTCTGTATTTACTATTTACTAATCTAACTTATGTTATAGAACTAATATAGTATGAATGAATAAAATTTTACCCATTTCCTATATTTTTAAAAACCTTTCATATATCCGCAATCCATCAAAACAAAATTAACTTGATATTGTCCTTAAAATGCTGAAATTTGAAACCATCTTAGTAAGTGTAAACAGAACAGATTGTCTTCAAAGTCCTGTTGCAAGAACAATGGGTGAAATCCCACCCCTACCTTACACTCAAATAGAAAACAGCTAGGAGGTTCATTCTGGTGGAGAACACCCTGTGCTGGCTTAGCTCCCTTCCCACTTCAATTTCTGCTGGCTTTTAGGCACAACCCTGATCCACATCATCACCAGTTAAACATCACTGCGCAAATATTTCAGTAACTCCATAGAGCAACAATAGGCCTTCAAACATAAATACAACCATTTCCACTTCCCAAAATGAAGAGCTACCCTACATGAGTAAATCCAAACTCCTAGATTCAAAAAACTCCACCACTTTCATTTACCAAATATTTTAAACAATAAAAGTTAAAACATAATTGTTACATTTAATTTCCTTTTCCAACTATTTTTTGAAGATTTGGAGGCGGGAAAGATAAGAGCAGATGAGTGGAGATACACAATGGTCAGAGACATTACTGTTATTAGCTTCTGCTAACTCCAGAGCAAGCAGTGAAATGTAGGCTCCCTGCCAACAACTAAACCAAATGAAGACATTCTGGAATTTCAGCCTCCATTTCAGACTGTTCCTTTTCATCAGGCAGTTCAGCAACTTTATAAGCAAGGTATATTAAAATCAAATAAGAAATTGAAAAGTACATGAATTTTGTTTGGGCTGAACTTTGTAACTAAGATTTCTCTCTCCAATTTAAACCTTGTATTAGAGATGTAAGCCACTAAGTTAACTATCTGATAAACATAAGCTTATCAAATAGTCGACT